AGGCCTTAATAGCTTGACTATCAGGAAATAAAATGTTTTCTTCTCAAATTTTGATGGAAATTATGGTTCAGAGCAACTTAATAGGACGCAGTCAAGTGGAACAAGGGCCGTATCCTATCATTTCCTAGGCTAGAGGAACAAAAGAGTCCTTCTAAATTTATTTGTCTTCAACGACACAGTTCTTACTTTCCGCACTTGTTTGCTTTTACACACATATATACATTACAAATATGCAGTTTCTCAGGGCGATTACGTTGATAAGAGAAGGAAAATTTGAAGGGATTTTTTGTGCCCATAACTCAGGGGAAGGATAGGATGCGGCCCCAGCTTCCACGTTCGTTTTGTGCTGTAGATAAGTTATCCGAGCTCCGTTGTGAATTTTTAATGGCTCATTATTTCTGTTTTAGTCTCATGTTGCGCTTCGTTGACGATACATTCGATCCAGAATTGGCGGCAACAATAGGTTTGTTACATCGTCGTATCATTCCAGACTTAAGCATTTGTGCTAACAATACCAAGCATTACCTAGTGCAATGCTCCTTTCAGGGGTCGATTTTCGGGTGACATCGATGAATGTTGACGGAAACCGAGTAAAACTTGCGATTTGGGATACCGCTGGACAAGAACGTTTCCGAACACTAACACCAAGTTATTACCGTGGTGCTCAGGGCGTGATTTGCGGTGAGCTTTCTATCTTCTTCTTTATTCTCCATGAATATAGAAACACTATTTGAGCCATTTAGTGTACGATGTAACAAACAAGAGTTCTTTCGAAAATTTGGATCATTGGATGACGGAGGTGGAAACCTATATAACAAAGGGAGATGCTGTCAAAATGCTTGTTGGCAACAAGATTGATATGGTATTTCGTCTTACCTCTCATTTTTCATACTTTTACTTTTTTTCAGTCGTTCAAAACTTTCTTTTCAGCCAAACCGTGAAGTATCTCGAGAGGACGGTCTCAAGTTTGCTAAGCGTCATCGCGCGTTGTTTATCGAAGCTAGTGCTAAAACTAAGGAAGGAGTACAGTGCGCATTCGAGGAACTTATCGAAAAGGTTTGCCTCAGCTTCTTCGTATGCCTAGCATATTCGTCACATGCACATACAACACACCGCATGATTGTGTTTGTTTGTGCTGTGCGAACAAGTGCGCTGGTCTCCAAGGGCGCATGCATAGTCTGTCGTCCAATCGTAACGATGGTAAAAGTCGCACAGCATTAGGTACGAACTGATCGTCTGGAATGCGAAACATGCGATCCTTACGATAGACAACCGACTATGAATAAGTCCTAACGAACAGTTCCGCCCTGCTAATATTGTAGATAATTGTTCTCCTTTTTAGATTATTCAGACACCTGGTCTATGGGAAAGTGACAGGCCTTCATTCCGCCTAGGCCAACACACGGCGAGCCCTAGCGACTCTTATTGTGGATGTTAAGACGTTGTGCGACGTTGTGTATCAATCATTCAGAATTTCTTCAAATTGTACAGTTCAGCTTTGACATCTAGTTCTGTTAGCCGTTTAACAAGTGAATGAAGCCACCTTCGTTGCCTTTATTCATAAACTTGCTTTCACAATTCTCGTAAGAGTGGCCAAGATATCAATGGCATAGGTGAGTTTTACTGTTCTGTAAATATGTACTTTTCCATTCATTGTTTTGTAACAATTGTACTGCGCGAGTCGTTTCGTAATTTTGACCGTGTGAGTGATGTAACATTGATGTACACAGACCGCTTAATAATCTGGTCTTCTCTTTCTTCCGGTTAAGCATGCTTTTTTTATTCCGGTTATGCATTGCTGATGCCTATATTGGCATGCTTTTTGCATACTTATAGTTGTAATTTTAGCCATGTTCTCAGGAGTTTATTCTCTTACAATACCTTTTTCTATACGTTATAATAAAAAATTTATCAGAATGTTTGGTGAATGTTGTCATTCTGCTGGTCAAAATCCGTTGATTCATCCTCTTTTCTCTTTTTCTCTCCAAGCGATTGGTAGTATATATGTTTTCACAGAACATGGATAACAACGAAGAATTCATGGTGGCTACAGAAGAGCAAGCTCGAATGGATGATATGAATAACTCCTATAAGGAGAAGATTGATGACAAGGTACGACGGTTGTTCGATCGTTCATTATGGTTGAAATAACTCGAAGTTCAAAGCAATTCCTCTCATTATGTTGTTGTTGATTGCGTTTTTTGTGACTTTTCCTTATTACTTGCGCGATGAAAAAAATTACAGGATAACGGAGCTGCTGGTGCTAACGGCGACGCTTATCCCAAAGAAAACAGGGACGATAAGTCAGAACGAGGAGATCGCGAAAAGGACCGCGACAGAGACCGTGATGACCGTGACAAAGACCGCGAAGACCGTGATCGACACCGTGATCGTGACAGAGACCGCGATCGTGATCGTGATCGCAAAAAGCACAAGAAAAGTCGTAGTCGCAGTCGCAGTCGCAGCAAAGATCGTGACCGTGACCGTCGTCGATCGTGAGTATTGCTCTATCACTACTCCGCAAAAACAAAACTGGGTATTGCTCATTACCTCTATCGTTTAGACGGGATCGAGACTCGCGTGACCGTGGTCGTGATAGAGACCGTGAACCACCGCGTGTAGAACCTAAGAAGAAGTATCGCTTCTGGGACATCCCACCTGTTGGATTTGAACACCTGACACCAAAGGAATATAAAGCGCAACAAGGTTAGTCAATTATTCTGCGTAAAAAGTAAGCTCTTTCAACATATACTGTCTATTACAGCTGCTGGTGCGATCCCGCGATCGAACATGCAAGCGGCGGTACCCGTTGTTGGACCATCGGTTACATGCCAGTCACGTCGTCTCTATGTTGGCAACATTCCATTCGGTTGCAACGAGGAGGCCATGTTGGATTTCTTCAACCAGCAGGTGAGAAAAGTTTTGCATTGTTGTACTTGTAATGACCGGAGGAAACTGAATACATGACATTTGCCACATGGTTTCATGCTTTTGACGTACGGTTCATCGACATTATTCTTTTCTAGTAGTCTTGAAAATAGCCTTTTGCTAACTTCGAAATTTCGGGTTCTTGGATGGAGGCACTGATGCGTTCATTGAAGAAAATGTAGTGGGTAGTGTACCCTCCCCCGTTCCTCCTCTCCTCCTCCCCTGCTAATCAGTATGAATAGTTGTGTCCGATTATATTAAGTACTTAACCCCAAAATACTGTCTTGTTTAAGTTTCTTTTTCATCTGTCATAGAATCTATATATTTTTATAGATGCATCTTTGTGGGTTAGCACAAGCGCCAGGGAATCCTGTACTTGCCTGTCAAATTAATCTGGATAAGAACTTTGCCTTCATCGAGTTCCGCTCGATAGATGAGACTACGGCGGGAATGGCCTTCGATGGTGAGTACTTCTGATGCGTTGGTACATCTCAGTAGAGCCATGCACAAGAATTCTATTTTAGGCATCAACTTTATGGGACAGCAGTTGAAAATTCGTCGTCCTCGTGATTACCAACCTATCAGTGCAAGCTTTGACATGGCATCAAGGATGCCGGGTGAGTCATTATCGCAGTATTTTCAGTATGTTTTTCATTCCTTGTTCTTTTTAGTATCAAACATCGTTGTCGATTCCCCGAATAAAATCTTCATTGGTGGCCTGCCTACGTACTTGAATGAAGAACAGGTACGTTCTTTTCCCACTTTTCTGCGTCTATTTTTATTTTGCCCACCAACTTTTGAGGTGACTGCTATTGCTCTGTTAGATAAATTTCGGAGGCTTGCAGATAGTTACTTCAGGCCTTCACTGATTAGGAATATAGTATTGTTGTGGTGTTGATGGGATGGCTACTAATGTGTTGAGCGTGTTTCAGCGCTCGACGCTGTGGCCCTCGTACTGGCATCTGTACATTCTCCACATCGGATGACTCGAAAAAGCACCTCAAATGCGTATCTGGATCCACTTTCGCAACCACTCTTTTCAGAATTTTAGCCAGCCCGCCGCCGAAAGCCACAGCCTTCTTTTATTTCAGCTCCGGTTCTCTCTTTTAGGCTTTTTAGCGCAGCGCAAACCGTGTATGGGGGATGGTGGTGTATTGTGTAGGCAGGTTGTTCGGTTTTAATCATTGTTAATCTATTGCGATTGGCCAACAATTTAAAACTTTTTTAATTCGGATAGCGACCTTGCGCATGATACCAGATTGTGTCTCATGTGCAAAGTTTGGCGTATAATCGCACTTCTTGAGAAGGTAACAACTGCGTGATCCCAACGTGATCTGCATTTAGGTGAAGGAACTGCTGTGCTCATTTGGGCAGCTGAAGGCTTTCAACCTTGTTGTTGATTCCAGTGGAACATCAAAGGGATTTGCTTTTGCCGAGTATCTCGACACTACGCTTACCGATCAGGTTAGTTTCTCTTAATTTACACGAAGTGCTGTGCAGGAAGTCGCTTTAAAACTGTTTCAGGCTATTGCCGGTCTAAACGGTATGCAGCTTGGAGATAAGCAACTCGTCGTACAGCTCGCTTGTGCCAATGCACGTAGCTCTCAACCAATGGCTCACTCAGCCACATCAATTGCTGGTAAGTGATGTGAACGATACCCATAATCGATTAATAGGGTCTTCTCAATGTTAATTTCAAGCCCATCTTCAACTATGTATGAGCGTGATGGCGTATTGAGTAGTCTCTTAAGAAATTGAATATTTCATTAGGTCGAAACCGTTTCAGTCAACCGAGGAACCATTCATGCTGAATTGTTTTTGTTTAGTGATCAGCAGGACTTTGAAAGATTGCAATTTTGCAGGTATTGACTTGTCGCAAGGTGCTGGTGTGCCTACCGAAATACTTTGTTTGATGAATATGGTGGTTGAAGAAGAGTTGAAAGACGATGAAGAGTATGAGGGTAGGTTGGATGTCCATTTCTATTTTTGTCGTTTTTCTGTATGCTTTGATTGTCTAGATATTCTGGAGGACATCAGAGAAGAATGCTCAAAATATGGCATTGTTGCGGTCATTAGAAGTGCCGCGACCCATTCCAGGAGTAGAAGTTGCTGGAATCGGAAAGGTAAGCTTTCCGCTCTGCTCATGATATTAGGATGTTCACAATTGGATTCATATTTTTAGGTATTTGTTGAGTTTGCATCGTGTGCGGATTGTCAAAAAGCGCAAGCTGCTTTGACTGGTCGAAAATTCGCCAACCGTACTGTTGTTACCTCCTATTACGATGTGGATAGATATCATCAACGGCAGTTTTAGTTTCCGAAATCGTTTTGGCGTTCTGGTTTGTGCGTAGCGTGCAGTGTTACTATATGTTATGCGTCTCTTGTTTCTTTTTCAATCGCTTCATCTAAATAACATTGTATGTTTGTTCGTCATGGTCATTATAAGTACTGGAAAGAATCGTTGTTCTGCACCAAATTGTTCGTTGATTGAAATCTATCCTGTCTTCTTAGCCGCTTTTTGAAACTCTGTAAGATTTTTAAAAGTAAGCCGAATCATAAACTTAATGTTTGAAGCAACTCAACACCTGTTATGTTAATAAAGTTCTCTGCAGTTTTTTCGCCTTTTTTGAGTTATGTTTCTGGTCTAAAGTGAACCAGTTCGAGCGTATCTGTTATGTGCATTCGGTAAGTTCTAAGGTTTAACGAGTGAAAATCGAGGAGTCATATCATCGATACGTTTCTGTGAGAAGAAATGACGTTAAGCATGAAGAACGCGACATTTGACGGCCCGATTACATCAGCATACAACATCCTTGCTTTTTACTACTGGTCTTTTCTGAAAATTATGATTTTTTTTAACTCTGTAAACAAAGACGATTGTCATTGTAAAATGATACCTTGAGGCGGTGGCGCATTTGGTGTGTACTTGGGAATTGACACTATGTTGCTGCTGCTGTAAATTTTTTTGCTGCTCCTCATCTGGCATCGTTGATTTGACCGCTTCGTCAGCGGCTGCTGGTGCTCGGTCGCCGTGCTGCTGCAATTACAAATGACTAACTTTTTTTGGGAGAGTACCTAGTTCAGTAGGTCATTCTTTGCAACTGCGTTTTGCTATCGTACAACCTCAGCACCCTGGTAGGATCGTTTATGCAGAACGGTGGTGTAAGAACTAATGTTTGTTCAAAGCTGGTTCTCCTGTATGTTACCGCTCTTGGCTCGATTTATATCCATATAGTCGAGAGCTTTTTCAACTTGGAATGTCAAAACAGTGGTGAAGAAATGGTCCAGAGTTCGATCCCCGGTGATGACTAATTTTTGCAATATAGTTTGGCGCCCCAGATTGCCGCCAAATGGCGCCATCGTCGAGAATAGATGTCATTGTCGTGTTTTGCGGCAATTTGGAGGCGCCAACATAAATTGCAAAAATTTGTCATCACGGAGGATCGAACTTTGGACCATTTCTTACTCCCCTGTTTTGCCCTGTGGGACACCACGTTCACAGAGTCGTGAAATCGCAAGGTCGCTGCGTATTCAAACCCTACACAAACTGGAAGCCTACTGTAGCGGGTCACGAACTGTTCGTTTTCCAAGAGGAAAGAGATGATACTCAAGTGGAAAAAAAATTCCAAGGAGAATCGAGCAATACCGTTTTTTGGACTCCCGGGTCTTTCTTCATTGTTTTTGGATTTTTACCATCTTTCTGAAATTAATAGCAATCTTTTCTTCTTAGCAAATCAAACCTACCATATTTTTTCGCATACCTTTTTCTTAGCACCATCTTTCACATCTTTTCGTTTGCTTTGCCTTAAAACATACATCATGGTGCAATAATGAGCAAGTTGAAGGAGTGAAGCAGAACAACGTATGTTGCAAGAAATTCGCCAAGGCAACCTTTACAGAGGCAAAGAGCACGGAGAGATCTTTGAACGAGAAGCTGTAGAACAGACACAGGGAAGTACCTCTTAGATCTGGCTGAAGCCAGAGTAGGCATTCAGGCGACATAAGGGTGGTGACGGCTATAAAGAGTAGTATTCGGGTCATTCTGAGAAGCCAGCAGAGCGGAGGTAGCAAGAATATTTCGACAGGCACATACGAGAGTTCTCGGCAGCGAGACAGCTTTACAACTAGATGTCAAAGCTTTGACACTAGCAGTTTGGCAGAGACGTGTTCTAAGAAGACGTGAAGATGGAGCTTAACAAAAGGGCCGCACCCAGTTTCCAATTGAGTGCACAGTTGATTGCATATACGGCGGTTATAGGACGGCTTGAGAGCAGGGTCAACCCTACGTTGTTACGAGTAACAACGGGGGGGTCGTACCTGGTTGAGTTTGTAGGAGGGGGGGTCGTACCACTTTAGTCGCTCGAAATCACGTGTGGGATTGAGGAGAAACTAAGATTTCGTGGGTAGTAGGTTGTGCGAGTAGAGGGCGCGAGAAAATATTTCCATCCCAAAGGGTATAATACCCCCCCCCCGCTCGATTGACGGGCATTTTTGGAGGAAAAAATGGGCGGGGTTTTGATGGAAGATGGAGGGGGAAAAGGGGGTCGTATCAAATCCACGTTGGGGGAGGGGGGTCGTGAAATTTTTGAAAAGTAACAACGATAGGACAGACCCTGAATCAATATGCTATTGTTGCTGTGACAACAATGTAATGCGCTGAGAAGATGGAAATTTCCAGCGGTACAGAAAAAGGAGTATATGTTGTCTTGACTTTGAAAGGGCTATGGAGTGCTTCGACGACTGTTTGATTTAAGTTGATCTTGGAACGGCACGAGGCGTTGCGCCGACTCAAAGTGGGAAGGTCGATTTTGCACGAGGGTAGTAGGTTCGTTGCCGTTCTAACGATGCCATCTTCATATTTTTATAGTCTGGAAAGGAAAGAGTATGGAGAAATGCGTCAAACTTGCCAGAGACCCTCGATCTAGAAAATTCGTTCCACCTACCCCTAGCAACGCTTTAGAAGGCAGCAGAGGATGAATTCACAACACCTGAACTCTTTAAGGACAGACACGAGGCGCTACAACTGCGTGCACCTGTCATAGCTAGGTAATAAAGAAAGTCGCTGTGAGTTCTGCAAGAGTGAGTTGAACCCGATTCATATGACACGGAGGACGACGATGAAGGAGGAGCTGCTTGGACGGACGAAGCTGAACCCACTCAGTAGGAAATTTGAACCGTTAGAGGATGTCATGGTAAACCAATCTCTTCTTTGTGTATTTCAGCCCAAATTTTCGGGCAATAAAGAAGGGTCTCAGGACATCTGTCAACCGTGAGCCCTGGCGGTTCAGAGTTTTATAGTGATCTGGGAGCTCTTACAAGTGCACACACATCACAGCATCTTCCTCCTTCTCCTTATCTTCTCAAAAGACTTAGTTCCAATAAGACACAAAGTGTGTGCTTTCCCAGCTACGCTTTCACTTTGTTTGAACAGAACCCTTGTAACCATAAAGTAGAGATCCAGTACAAGGTGAAATATCGTCCTCAAAAGCAGGCAGAGGTGGGCTACAGTTGAAAAAGTTGGCTCCTAGGCTTCAAAGGGTGCATGGTTTGAGGTAAGCCACCTAGGAGAAAGCTATCGTGTGGGTATTGGGCTTCTGAGACATGTCGAACAACCTAACAGCTTAGGTAATTGGCCAGGCAGGTATAGACCGGTAGATAAATTCAGAAGACAGTGCATGTCTGGTACGGCTGGCTTTAGAAGGTCAAGAGCCGTACCAGGCGGTGGTCATATCCTACATTGCCTGCACCGATGTCGATCACGGCCTTCAGTACACAAATCCATGTAAGATGTCCGCATTGCTGAATCGATATAGCCAGCGGCTACGCATTGGCACGATGAGGACATAGGGCTGTCGAGCGGCTTCCATCTTTCAACTAAAAACAAGGTGGCGATTGCGACGTTATGGCGTGCCAAAAGCAAACGATCATTGGAAGTTCCACAGACAGAGGTAAAATGGCACCAAGAAGAACATTGATTAAAGTCAAACCTCTTACAAGGGAGGTCGTTCAGGGTGTGCCAAGCTTTTTCAAAATGGTTTCTTGCATGACATTGGGGCACATATGGGGACCACAGAAGCATGGTTCATTTTTCCTGAACGGCCCTCTGAATACCAGAAAAGGGGTCCCTAGTTCGATTCCTCGTGGTGACAAGTTTTTGCATTTCGAGTTGACGTTTCCAAAATTCGCGCAAAATGGAGTTAGCATGAATAATTAGTACCATATCATGATTAGGGAACCGTCAGTAACCCTGCTTAAAGATTGGATGAAAAAACTGTCGAACAAGATGTGACACATAACGGCCCACTGTGTTGTACAACCTTTCACAATTTTTTTTACATTATAAGGGTTACTGACGGCCCTAATCATGAATATGGTACTAATTATTCATGCTAACTCCATTTTGCGCGAATTTTGGAACGTCAACTCGAAATGCAAAAATTTGTCACCAAGAGGAATCGAACTAGGGACCCCCTTTTCTGGTATTCAGAGGGCCGTTCAGGAAAAATTAAACATGGTTCTGTGGTTCCCGCATGTGCCTGAATGCAAGAAATCGTTTTGAAAAACCTCGGCACACCCTGAACGACCTCCCTTGTTAGAATATGCCTGGTCGGAAAAGCGGGGGTAGGGTGATAGTGCGGTCTGTTAAGTATCAGCGGATCCTGATGGTACGGTAGGAGAAGCGAACAGGAGCCAATATCGGCTTGATTGATCCATATCTTTCCATAAACACTCTTTTGCTCCTCTTGATCAACATTTGAGATTTCCTTCAGTGACCGGTCGTTCCCATTGTTGAATAGCAAGCGAACATGGTTAGCTCAGAATTAAATCTCACTTTTTGTCGTCGTCCAAGTCAGACAAGTCACTGACTTCTACATCGTCGTCGTAGCCTTTTTTCTTTAGTGGCTGTTTGCCAGGATTTTGATCTTTTGCCAATTCCTCGATATTCATATCTGAAACCTAATGAGCTCTAATACCATTAAACTGCTCACCTAAGCAGCGCCACACTCATGTCGCTGGCGGTGTAGGGGGAGGGGAACATTCAAGAGAATATGCCAGTTGCAGTTCTTGGGGCTAACAATAAGCTTTAGAAACAAAGGATTCTGGGTAGGATGCAAGCAATTTTTTGTTCTCCATGCCATTTTCCCCCTCCCTTGAGCTTAGTCCCAGTGTTACCTCA